AGGAGATGCAATTTGGCGGAGGAGCTCTGTTAGGATCACCATAGGTGGCGGTTGGGTGTCGCAAAGTGCACGGAGGCACTAGAAGTGCGGCACGTTAGTAGTAAATAAACTGAGGATTCACAAGGTCATCATGAAAAGTATTAGTATCTACGGTAGTAAGGTTTGGTAATTGAAGAAAAGATTCAAGGAAACCTTATGGGCAACTAAGGAAGACTTTTGGCGAAGATCTCACGGGGATCTCACGAAAAGAGCGCGTTCGTAATGAATGAGAGCAAATATAATACTTGGGGGTCCGTCCCGTGGTTGCTACGCAGCCCAACCCTCAGGGCGCTGCGCGCCCCCAAAAGCCCGCTTCGTGACCAGTGATATTGTCGAGATTGCCCGGAGGAACAAATTGAAATTGCCTAAAGTAAATTAAGAATTAAAAAAAAGATACCGTATCAACAACTAAAATCATATCAAAAATAAAGAAAAAGATACCTCATCTACAACTTTAAGCAAATCAAAATCAGACGAACCAAATTGAAATCGACCACTCTCAACCTACTAAGAAAACTCAAACGGAGAAAACCACAGTATTATTAAGAATTAAAAAAAAAAGAAAGAAACCTCATCAACAACTAAGAATGAAATAATGAAAAACAGGATGCAAGCCAACTATGAGGGGAACAAAAAGAAACAGAGGACGGAAGCTAGAGTCAACAACAACGCAAAGGGAATCTCCCCCTTACGGGTTTCAATTGGTACGGGAGTTTCCCACTTACAGATTTTTAACTCCCCTTCCTCACCCCAGCCTATCGACCGGCTTACTCCCCTTCCTCATAGCATCCATCGAGCGTCTCAAAACTGATTTTATCAGAATAGAGAGGATACTATCATTTCACTTTTAGATAGGAGTAGGTTGTCGTCAATGATACGGAGGAAAGAGCGCATAACAGTGCTTTTTTTCCTCCCTCCTGCCTGTGAAAAGCACAAGACCAAGTTCATTTCAAATGTAGCTAGTCTCTATATTCGCCTTCATAGGATAATGAATTGCAGTGGACAAACTAAAAGAGAAATCTGTGATAAGTACCTTGTCATTCAAAGTTTATTTGACTTTCCGTTTCTCTCTCACTTTATCCATCTATTACTTCTGATCGACTCAAACACATCATCACTTTCTACTACGTACATTCCAATCAGTACTTTAACCAATTTTGCATGCCATTTTAGTAGTTTAGACCGAAACAATTCTACTTTTAAAAGCAAACCACATGGCCCCGCTCTGATGAGTGGTTCAGTTTATGAGCCAAACCCACCTCCCCTCTCCCCTCACGCAAAACCTGATGTTTATTTCAGTCAGCCCCTGAAGATGTGATTGACGTCATCTACCGAACGAATTCTTGGAGAGATGATAAAGTAATTACTTTCAAGTGACATACTGGAGCCTGTTGCTCGTCCTCTTTTTCTCCCCCCTCCCTTCCCCTACGAGGGTCCAATTTTAAGACCAGATAATCTACGTTTCTTCTAGGCATAAAAATGTGCGTAGTCAAACTTAAGATTCTTGCAAAGGCAGGGTTCCCAGCGATCTGGAAAACCTGGAAAAGTCAGGGGGAAAAAAATGGCCTGAAAAACATGGAAAAGTCAGGGAATTTGCTCCAAAAGTCTGGAATTTTTTCAAGTACTGAGAAGAAAAAATTAATAAGTAAACAAATAAAAATAAAAGAATTAAATTTGAAATTGCAATGCCTTCGTTGTATTTTGAATTTTCCGCCAACACATCCTTTTTATCGGCATTCGGAACAAATCGGAACTACTCGGAAGTGTTTGCTGGCTCCCCCTGCAGGTGAGCCACAATGATGGGGGCATCTGACGGGCAGGTATCCAGGGGGGGGGGGCTCAAGCCTCCCCCCCCCCCCCGGGGGGGAGGTGCTTGCAGGCACGTAGCCAGCAAAAAAGCCCCCCCCCCCCCCCGAAAGCCAAAAAAGGGGGAAAAGAGAGAAGGAAAGAGGAGACAGAAGATGAGAAAGTGCAAGGAAAGTTGAAGTTTGAGACCGTCGAAGATATTTATCTGTTTTAATGTAGAGTCTCAAATGAAAACACCATGTTCATTCCTAAAATTTTCGTCAGAAAAGTCTCAAAATGCGTCCAAGTAGAGTTAAAATTTCTGAAATTTTCCAACTTTGTTGAATGTAACAATTTGAAAGTATTTTGTGTAAAAAAAAGCGAAAATTTTATGCAGAAACTGATGGAAAATCTGTGTCACGGAAGCCTCAAAATGAGTCCAAATAGAGTTGAAATTTCAAAAATGTTCTAGATTTGTCGAATGCATATAATTCGAAAGTATTTTATGCTGAAAGTAAAAAAAAAAGGCCTAATTTTTATGCAGAAACTGATGGAAAATCTGCGTCACAGAAGCCTCAAAATGCGTCCAAATAGAGTTAAAATTTCAAAAAATTTTAGGATATTTTTAAATGCATATTTTGTATTTTTTGCTAAAAGTTCCAAAAAGAAACGTAACTTTTCTGCAGACATTGATGGAAAATCTGCGTCACGGAAGCCTCAAAATGCGTCTAATTAGATTACAAATTTCTAAAATTTGCCGGGGGAGGACCCCCGGACCCCTTTCTTCCTGGAGGGTATTCCATACCCCCCAGACCCTCCTGGTAGTAGAGGGACCCCACAAGCCCCCCCCCCCCCCCGAAAAAACAACATCCTGGATACGTGCCTGGGGCATCTTGTGCGACCGGTTGCGTTTAATAAAAAAAGAGATCGCAGGAGCTAGCCACTCCTCTTCACTCCACTTCGATCGGATAACCTTCAATCTTCAATGTAAAAGTTTCAAGTACACTCACTACAATATCTTGCGCTTAGCTGAGAACTATGCCTGCATGCTAAGGTAAAGGTTATTTTTTTTGCAACTCTGCCTTTTTTCCCTGGACAATACGCTCATTAAAAAAATATATATGCATTTCTCAGTTTTTTTAAGAATAGTTCTTAATAGTCTGCAGAACGAAGACTGCAGGTTGGATTATTTTTTAAAAGAATCTGTTCAGTGCTCTTTTCCTTAGCATAGCAGCAATACCATGATGGGATTTATTTTTCAAATCCAATACTACTATGAGTAAATGAAACAAATTGAAAAATCATTTGCTTTCATCAATGCATGTATCGTTTGAGAAGGCGTTTATATTTTGCCAATTTTTTTTCCAACACATTTTAAGTTTTTTTATGATTTCATTCGTGTTACGATACTATCCTAGCCTGGTTCTTATAAAGAAAAAAGCTAAACCAGATAAAAAATTGATGAAAATAAAAGAGTTTTTACAAAAACCGAAAAATGCGCGCGCGCGCGCTGTCTCTTTTAGGGTAAATTATTTGAGTTTTTTCTACGGAAAAAGGCCTGGAAAAATTTTCATTTTGGCCTGGAAAACCTGGAAAAGTCAGGGATTTTTTTTTTCCAAAATTGGCTGGGAACCCTGAAAGGGCAGAAACTCAAATCAGGATTTGAGAATTATCTTTTACAAACTTTATGAAAAACTTTGACCTCCTCCAAAGGAGACAATATTACAAGACAGTGTGAATGGCCATTATGAAAAAACCAGCCTATTTAATCAAACTATTTCTTTACAAGATGAGAGCAAGATCCTCCAGAAACACCGAGGTTAACAGAAGCTATCGACGGCGGTAGGTATTGAACAAAGTGAGAGATGACTTAAGCACTAAACAGGAGGTAATCGCGACGAGTTGAGAATGAACATGAGGACTTATAAGCGTCCAGCCCACCTTCAAACTAGGGGCTTCAAAGAGGCTCATCGATGGAACTGTTGACCATTGCCTTTCAAAGATCGTCGGGCCGACGACCTTTGAAGGTGACCGATGTGTTCGGGATACATCACAGATCAGATCTTGAAATTTTCAAGGAATTCTGTGCAGAAATGGCTGAGAAATAGAAGAATTAGTGCCAGTTTGAGAGCTCCAGTTTGAAAGTGGGCTGGGCGCTGTATGTAACAATAGCGGTCGCTGACATCCGCCATTTGAGGGAAAATGCTTTTTTCGGATTCTGGAGCCCTCAAAAACGCCTGTGCAAAGTTTCAGACTTCCAGCGCAATTTTTCGGCAAGATATGAATTGAAAACTTTGTTATTTGGAAAAACGGCGGATATAAGAATCCACTGTTCTCCCCGACCGGCGCGGCAGGACACCGTGGAGACTCGAACGCCTTTGCAATAACTGCCCGCGCTTCGGCCATGGGCTGCAGCTGACACTGAAATGACAAGTATCTGGACCATCTCGCCAGAATTTTTGATTTTTTAACTGATTTTATAATTTGTCCCTTATTTTTGTTGCAGAAGTTACAGACTGTTTAGTTTTTTGTTCAATTTCATTAAATGACTCAGCATTGACTTACTTTTGGTTCATTTCAATCGTTTCACCAGCCTTACCCCTCCTTTAGACTTAGTTTCATGCATATTGAAATGTTCTCAGTGAAAATAGCGGATGTCACATTTTTTTAAAATCGCTGTTACTCCTTCAATTTTTCACTTATATAAATCGTAAAATGCGTATTTTACAGGAAGAGTTGCTCTTCATGAAAATCTTTATAAGAATCCTTTCAGTCCTACGGGCGGCATAGTGCAAAGCTTCGAAAACTTCAAACTCGATTTTCTCACAATGTGAAAATTCGACATCCACTATTGTTACTTATAAGTCCTCATACATGGTTAATCGAGGGATCAACAAATATGTGTAGGCTGAAGAATTGGTGTGCAGGATTCCACCTTTACCCCTGCAGCCATTTACCCATAGAAACTATCACGTACACTTGTAATCTAAGTAAACGGTGCAGGCAAATGGTACAGACTGATACTTTTCCCTTCTCGGCTATTCTCTTAAGTGCACTCCCCCTCGTTGTGTGTGAGGGTGTGTAAGTGTGCGTTTAATCTTTATGGTCTTCCTTAAGACTGAATAAGTTTCTGTTTTCTTTTGTTTCCTTCATTCTGTCTGTCATTTTGTTTGCAGGTACTGAAATGTTTCAATATGATGAATTTTTCCATGATCAAATCATGCGGAAAAAGAAAGATCACTCTTATCGAGTTTTCAAGAAAGTGAATAGGTTAGCAACTCATTTTCCGGCAGCGTATGAATATTCAGAGAAAGAGAAGCCCATTACAGTCTGGTGTTCTAATGATTACCTAGGCATGTCATGTCATCCCAAAGTGAAGGAGGCTGTAAGGTAGTACATTTTGTGTATGCTCTAAATTCATCTTATTCTATGTTAATTCTTCTTCATATCCTGATTCTTAAAAAAATTTAATTGAAAAATCCATCTCTACCTAAATCAAAAGCAACTCAAGTAGATGGCGTGAGCTATCAGCAGACTTGGAGGCTTGCTGTGCAGACCTGTCATTGTGTGTCATCTCCCGTTGTAAATACTTTCTCAATTTAAAACACTGCTGTTAAAGACGCCTTATGTAAAAGTTCATCGGTCTTTGCTGTGATAATTAGTGTTTAAAGCTGTATAAATTTTAAGCTACCAATTTATTTATTTTCCCTCATGGATACATACAATTATCATATACAAACACCATGAGAATAAAACAACTAAGAAGTGGCCCAAACTGTATGTAACATAATGTATGTAGCGAAATGGTGTGGACCATTTCTCCACCTTGTTATATGCAAATACCTTAATCCAGAAAAATCATGATATTTCTAATATAGTTCTGTCTAAGCGTAAAACAAAGAAAAAAATTGAGGATTTATCGAGACACATCATGAGCTAGTGGGACGAATCGCAAGGCACTCAAATTTTGAATGAAATTGAATAGAGAGATTCTGAGATATGGCTGAACCCAGAAAAAAGGTACGTCTAACGGACACACACTTTTTCAAATATGGTTATTTTGACTCCAGGTACTTTTAAACGCCTAGAAATGGTTAAATTTCAACTTTTTTTTTATTATTTTTGGACGATGACAATACTTTCTCTGTCCGCGAGGAGAGCGAGAAAGTATATAACCACTGGGCACCAGTAGGAAGAAAGACACAAGAAAGCAATACTAGGTACCAGTAGAAGTTTAGCAAAAAGCATCACTTGACACCAGTGTGGAGAACAACTAATCGGCAAATGGAGGCGCCACTGGAAGCGAGTAGGAACAACTGCTTATTGGCAAACAAGGCAATTAACTGTCGGAGCACACAGGGTTCCCAGAAAAATTAAACTTTACTTAAAGTACGTGAGTGCGCAAGACAAACCAAAAAATAAATCCTTCATTACAAAGCAATGAATAGACAAGATGATGAAAACTTGAAAGAGAATTTCCTTTTTATGTATAAAAAATATAAGTGAGCATGTGCTGAATTTTCCGGGAATGGGGGGACGACGCCGGGAAAAGCGGGACGACAGTGGAAAACGGCGCGCCATCTCACGGGCGCAACGCGGAGCCAGAGCCTTTCAGCTGGTTTCAGTTTGTGATTCGGCGCCTCGGACGGAGTGAAGAGGGGGACACACGCGGGTACACTGCTTTGTTGCGTCGAGCTATAAACCGTTGCTGCAGTTATATAGAAAATGTAATAAAAATCAGACTCTGACTGAACAGATTCGCAAGAGACTGTGTAAGTCTATGATACTGAGGTCCTAGAGTCCTTGAATTTACTTAATTTATTTTTATTTTAACATTTGAAGCACAGCAGACCTCAGCAGATAGTCGTGGCACAGGTCAAATATTTTTACCTCATTAGATCCTTCACACCATGAGAAATTCATTTAAGCCATACACAGTACACAGGGTGTTCAGCAAATACCACTTGCTCTCGTTTCCGACCGAAGAGAATCAGCTATCTAACACCCTTGTGAGTGATGAAAGCAACCTTTTCGTCCGTTCTGAGGTTCAATCAGAATTATTATTTTTACTATCATTTTTATTGCGAGAACAACATTGACCTTCTTCGTGATTTGTTTTCTTGCAAATTTGCTTTGATCGTTTTTGTCTCCACAATCAACTGATTTTCCAAATTTTGATGTTTCTATTTCTTTTTGTTGTTATAATTCCTATTAAAATTGACTCCACCGAAACAACGTATGAACGCAACCTCTCACATTAGTAGCAAGTCCTTTTTTCTTTTCCAAAATAATACAACAAACTCTTCGGTTTTAACTGTTTTCTATCTATCATGCTCCACCATTAGTTTACTTGTTGAAAATTGAAGGGTTTTATGCCCTTTGGGAAGAAGTTCCTTCCTGTTTTGAAGGATCTTTATGAGACAGGTATTCCTTGCAATATTTTATTAAAGAACATTTCATCTTTCACCATGTTGATGAGATGAAATGGAGACAAGGAGATTGTTAAGAGAGAAGAGACAAAAGGAACAAGTAATTGTTAGATGGACGCCATGACAGAATATTGTGTGGACCGCTGCCACATCGCGCGGGCGGCTGAGCTTACATAATGGTGCCATATTGGCACATTCCAGTTTCTAATCCCTTTGACAGTACAAACAGTTTTTCAAGTCTACTCACTTAAATTACCACATTATTTATAAAATTTAAACTAAAAAATTCCTGATATAAGCATTTTTCTCTGATCAGTTAATTTCCTAAAAAGACATTTTCAATGTTCCCATGGGCATCGGTGCAAGTTAAGATGTGTGTCGAGAGACTTTTATACATTTTAGAATCAATTATTTCTCCCTATTGCATCGGACTCGAGGTTCAGGTTTAAGTTCATCCCTGTCTAATAGAGGTTTGGCATTATTTTGACTGCTTAATTATTGAGCATGTCTAGTATTTTCTAATTCTTGCACTTTTGAAAACTATCACATAGTTCACAGGAATTCTTCCCGGTTTTTTTGAACACTGTTAACCCATGATCAACAAGCTCGAAGTTGCGTATTTTGAGTTTCCATTTCAATGCGCGTGGCCTGGTCATCCAAGATTGTGGCCGCGCAGAACGATCCGACTTGAACCACTCTTTTAACCTTGTGTTCCCCCTGGCGCAATCCATGGTCTGTGCCAATTCCTACGCAGCATTCCTGGCCAAATCATCATTTGAGGGTGTGTTGGCAATAACTGCAGCAAAGTTGCCAGATTGTAGGATAAAATGTAGATATTTTAGATGAGTTTAAATGGGAAAATATGCTGATTTTGCAGCCCTATCTGACAACATTAAGTCCTGCAGAGAGAAGCATCCTCTATATTGGCGTACATTAAATAATTTTCCCCTTCTTTTAAAATGTGATTTTGTTGTCATTCGATCAAATTTGCTTAGAAATTCAACTGAAATTCCATGCTCAGAACAAATTCACTTTATTAAGTAAATATATGAATCATTTCAAGTCCTTCCTTTATGATCCCGTGTGTTCTCTATAGCTTTGACCAGTAACCACAAACAATGACCAGGGATGGGTAGGTGGTATTGTCTGTGCGCTTGCACTGATAACAGGAGGAGTAAATATGAATCATCAGAATCTTTCAATTTTCATGAATATCATGACTACTTGACGTTCATGAAGTATTCAACAAAGCATAACAACGACTGTGACGTTCTTTGTATGAGAAAGAGGGCAAAGCAGAAGAAAAATTGCAACTGCTTTTCGCCTTACGCTTTCGGTGTACTGTTTTTGTCGAGTATCTGACGTAATGCACCAGAAACTTGCAGGTGGTGGGCTCAAGTGGGTAGTTGTTTCTCTTGTTTCTGCCATACACTGCAACCGTAGAAACTGGGCGAGGTGTAGCCTGTGCCAGTTTTGTGTAGCCAAATCCTACACTGGAATCTTTCTTACCTCTCTTCATATTTTTCTTCTAGAAATGCCTTAGAAATGTATGGAGCTGGAGCTGGAGGAACGCGAAACATTGCTGGAAACTCAATGCCGCACGAAAAACTGGAAGAAGATTTGGCAAGATTACACAACAAAGAAGCAGCTCTTTTGTTCACTTCTTGTTTTGTTGCCAATGATTCTACTCTCTTCACGCTTGCCCAAGCCATTCCAGGTAGGTTCATACAATGAACACTCTATTGGGCCTGCAGAAAATGCCCTATCTGGAGATCCCAGGACTGCGGCAAGCAAGAGACAGATCTTGGGCGTAAGGAAAGTTCGGAACCCTCAACAAGATGGAGGAAACATTGGATGATTTTTAAGCTGTATAAACATGCATTATACTATTTGCAGCATTTTCATTCAAAGGGGTTCATTCGCCAGTTCAGGAACTATCAACACGCAGCAGATCGTGGATTCTGCAGTCTTTTTTTATTCCTCACAGTAGTTCTAGGATTCTATGTTCATGCAATGTGATGAATAACACTAGAGGCGGTGTCACGTTCGGAGAATGTGATATAGGTTAGATGAACTGAAACATCTAAAGATCCTTAGAACAAGCACTAGAAATAGCTGAATTGTGGGAGAGCGGTAGAATAAAAAGAGTTTGTGTATCGTAACATGTGACTGGAGTATATTGAAAGTATGGAATCGTTACAAATTAAATAGACATTCGGGAGCACTTTGGAAGGCNGGGGGGGGGGGGGGGGGGGCACTCTGGAGGGTAAGAAACAAAGGGTATTGATGGTTGAGACCCAAGAACCGAAGTGAAGTCTCCAAGTTGCAACGCTTTGGAGTCAGGCATGCAAAAAGCCTTATCACTCAATCCATCTTGTGCTGCTATTCAATAAAAAATAAGACAAAGAAAGATGCGGTCGACTGATCACAGCAACGAGTAAGGGAAGCTTGCTTGATGCTTGGTTTTGAAATTCATAGAGCAAGACTGAAAATGTGGGATAAAGGGAGACAGAAAACCTCTATGAATAAATGCGTTGCGGTGTACGCGGCAGGTGGCTTTCCCTTTCATCAGGAACTTCTTCATAACTTGCAAAGAATCATTGCATGAGGCAAATTTCTAGTTTTCTTTTAGGGACTTTGGTTTTCCTCTTGCTACCTTCACTGATAGGCCAAGCTCTTCAGTTCCCGTTTTGAGATTCGCATAATGCCCGTTATCAGGCATCCTGTCAGCCTGTGCATAGTGAGGCTCATGTGGCACCGATCAGCCTCACAAGCAACATAAAAATGATCTTAACTTGTAAAAAATATATATGTTCAGGACTTACTTGCACTATTATTTAACTAAAGAACCCCGCACAGAGCATGGGCTCAGCGGCTCTCTAAGAAAGTCGATGAAACTTTAATAGATTCATATAAAGTTCATAATTAAGGGAAAGCCAAAAAATTAGCTCACTTTTACCAGCAGAAGCCGAGATATTCGCGATTGAACCCGGACTATTTTCTGTGCGGCGGAGGTAAATTCTCCGTGTCGCCTTACCTTGCTTGAGCACTTCGACCAGGAAAGCCCCTCTCCCCACCAGGTAACTACGATGTCGTATTGTTTACACTCACTTTTTTCATTAAAACGCTCTGTTCGGGCTGTGCGATATGGAGTTCCCTGCTTCTCGCACCTCTCCCGTGCCGGCGTCGCGTCGCCGGCCGGTTTAATCTGAAATGTAGTTACTGAAACAGAAGTGACAGATGCGGGGAGAGGGAGGGAGTACGGCATTCGCACCGGCCGAGCGCATAAGCACCTATCTTCACGTGAGTGACGTGAGGTCTGATCGAGAACGCTGAACAACCAGAGGAGAGGGGACTCGGAATTCTTCCGTCATGCTGCGGCATGATAGAAAATAGTACGGATTTAATTGCGAATATCTCGGCTTCTACTCGCTAAAATGAGCTAATTTTTTGGCTTTCCCTTGATTATGAACTTTATATCAATCTATTAAAGTTTCATCGACTTTCATAGAGAGCCGCTGAGCCCATGCTCTGTGCGGGGTTCTTTGAACTGGTTTCGAGGGCTCTGCCCTCATCGTCAGCGATAACCTGCGACTGACTTGATTGAAGGAGGTGTTGTTATATGATCAGATGATCAATTCCCTATATTGCCTGTTTTAATTAGTTTAAATAAAATATTAGATGTGCCTGTCAAGTCTATGTTAAACGTATTTCGGCGAAAGATAGAATTGTTTTCCCAAGGATCTAGTTTCGCCTTATTCTTAACTTTTTTTTTATTAAAACCGGTTTGAAATTGATGTTGTGTCCAGTGTCCCGACTGTGTCCCAGTGTATCAGCTGTAGCTGAACATTTCTGGAACACTGAATACAACATTAATTTCAAACCAGTTTTAATAAAAGAAGTTAAGACTAAGGCTGGACTAGATCCTCGGGAAAACATTTCCATCTTTCGCCGAAATTAGTTTAACACAGACTTGACAGGCACATCTAATATTCTATTTAAACTAATTAAATCATGCAACACAGGGAATCAATCATCTGATCATGTAACAACAACACCTCCTCCAATCAAGTCAGTCCCGGGTTATCGCTGAGGATGAGGGCAGAGCCCTCAAAACTCGTTAAATTATAAATGCTAATAAAATTATAAATGCTCTACCTTGGAACATTAAACAAAAACTTTGTGACGGTGATATACAGACATTTTTCAATTTACTTCGAGATCTACTTTTAAGGAAGGCATTTTATAATTTGAACAAATTTCTAAATTCAGCTGTTGAGTAACGTTTACTAACCACCACCTAATGTAACAGTTGTAATTTATATTTTTAATTATTGTATAGTGTTTTTTGACCTGTGCCATAGCCCTACTAATGGGGCTCTCATGTACGAAAGTTATAATAAATAAATAAATAAAATTGAATCAAATAAAAATGCAAGTGAGTCCTAAACTAATTTATTTTTTACACATTAAACTTGTGCTGACTTCATAAATGTTACTATATCATCATAATTTGTACCGCCAATTATGCATGTAGGAGGTAATCCCACTAAGGTGTCCTTAATTTTCAAATAATGTAGCATGAGCCCCACATGACAGCTTGTCTTCCTTGCTTGATAGCCTCTCAGCTTCACATGCCAGCCAGTCAGCTTTAAAAGGGACACTAAAGTCAACATTTATCATAAACCTAATCAACCTTGTTGGTGAACATCAGCCTCGCTCAGCAGCATCAGTGAGCCTGGCAGACAGGCAGAAGTGAACACACCTAACTTCTCAATTGATCGAGATGATTGTTCGAGTGGATCACTGTAAAAAAAAACACCCAAAAAAATTTGAGAGAAATTCGAGGTTAGATTGGGGCTAATGAGAGGCGCGCGAGGCAGAGACAATTTCAAAATGTGATGAGGTTTTTTTTCTTGCTTACCTTTTTTCAGAAAGTGAAGGATTTGAAAATTTTTCCCACAGGCAGAAACCGCTGGATCCGTGGCAAGCATTCGGAGTTCTGGAACTTTCTGTACCCCTGCACTCTGTTTTTGTTAAAAACACATGTTGAAAACCTTCAATCAAACTTTACTTTAGTGAAATTTCGGTGCAATAACTTTGTGGTTTAGTAAAAGGGAATGCAGTAAAACCTTGTAATATCTGATTACATGGGATCTACAGATCAATCCTTTAAACTGTGGACCCTGGGTGCATGTCAATTTGCATACTTCATTTTACATACGAGACATTACAGTGACGATTATTAGACCTGCAACAAATTGCATCTAAAAGTTTACCTAAAATTAAAATGCCTCTTAGAACTGTACCATTAAAAAATTTCGACGATTTTGCAGTCAACTTGAAAGGGGTACGTGTAAAATAGGCCATTTGGGGCTCGGGGCAGATAATTTTGAGACTTGCCCTATTCATTCACCAAACCATGCCCCATCTTTTATCAAAATTTCAAGCCCCCCAAAAATGTTGGGGAGACGCAGCGGGGGGGTCAAAGTTAAAAATCAGCAACATTTTTGCGAATTTGTTACTCGAAAACCGAGAAGTTTGGATAAACGCGGTTCAAGCAGGCGTTTTCGGCGTGACGAGAGCTTTCAGAAAATGTGAAACATTATAGGGTTTAGTCGACTATAGCTCGAGTTATCGCCTTCGAAGCGGCGGAACACTAAAAGAAGACCCCATTTTTTTCACGTCCGGGCCGATTCCAAAAAAAACCATTTCTTTATTTTGATGAAAAACTAATATGTTATTCCTGACTTTCTGTAGCTCCTCTAGCTTTTTACCGCATGCTGGGGAAATGTTTTGGTTGCGAGTTATGAGAGCAGAAAGGAGCGAAGGTCAGGAAAATCAGCTATTTTAAACTGCGCGTGCGGCGTTTGTTGGAAGGAAAACTTACTCTCCCACTTAGTTCTGCGAATCACACTCCTCGGCCGAACTCGCAGTGTTGCCATGTGTCTTCTGGACTGTTGCCGCTTCGGAGGCGATAACTCGAGCTGTAGTCGACTAAACCCTATGATGTTTTACATTTTAAGTCAAAATTTTAGGAGATGCTCCAAAAGTTCCATTCATAAATTAACCTCTGCAGGCACCTAATTTTCGTTAATCATCATCACTTAAAAATGTACGGTGGGCATTCTAATTCTAGGTCAACTTTTATATGCATTTTATGGCAAATCTTATAATCGTAGACAAAATGTCTTGTATGTAAAATGCAGTATACGAATCATTGCACCCCGGCGGATACTGTCAATTTTATCCAGTAAATTTTGGCGAAAATCGATTAAAGTCAGTTTTTTTTCCCCCAACGACTCTAGACCAATATAATTTTATAAGTTACTAATCAAAACAGCAGAGCAAGTTTCCTTTAAAAGCATCAGAGTGAAAGAATTTGCAAGGATGATCCTAAAAAGGATAAAGAAATAAATCCCTAATTTCTGAGAAGAGCAGGCAGATGATTTGCCTGAGAGAAGACTTGATTCAATCGATTAGGAATAGACTTTGCCGAATCCGTAATATTTTATGAGTTAAGTTTGACTGGTTTTTTTTCTTTCTTTTCATTTAAGAAAAATATCCTAAAAATCTCATACGCGATGGTCAAAAAGGTACGTATTAAATAAACATAGGTTCAAGGAATTCTTGGCCAGATGAAGTCGAAATGTCTTATGAAATCTGTAATGATTAAGTTGTAGTCCCTGTCTAAACTGCATGTTGATATGTTTTTCTGTCCGCTCAAAATGGAAAATGTTGCATCACACCAGGCAACTTTCACAGGTATTTTATTTTTGTATTTTAGGTTGTCAAATATTTTCTGATGCTGGAAATCATGCATCAATGATCCAAGGAATCCGCAACAGTCGAGTACCAAAACATATATTCCGACACAATGATCCTGAACATTTAGAAGAGCTCCTAAAAACCATTAGTATAGATGTACCAAAAATTGTGGCATTCGAAACTGTTCATTCAATGACAGGCGCAATTTGTCCTCTGGAAGAACTCTGTTCGGTAAGTACATAACTATCTCCACTCTGAAGTGAAGTTTTTCATTCTCTCCTAATTTTTATTGAGTTTTTGAAAGAATTTTAGTGAAAATTGTATCATTATAGCAATGTTTCGAATTCAATTTTTAGTCTGTCAGTAGGATTACGTAAAAGGACCATTGGCAACCACATGCTTATGTTTTTAAAGCGATTTTCTTACATGATTTGAACCGTGTAATGTGGAGGTCTGGAAAGAGCTGGAAGATCAAACAGTTCATTTGTTGTTTCTTGAGAGGGTCCTGGAGTAGCCCAAAAAACATAATTTCGTAATAATCGTAATAATATAGTTGTGCAAAAAATATGCGAATAGGTATCGAAATGCAGTGCTTTAAAGAGTTTTGTTACAAGAAAGTGACAAGGTTGCATCCTTCATGTATGTTAAAGATAATCGATCAAATTCAAAGTAAAATTTTAGGTTTTTGTTTCATGGTCAAATGTGTACCTCATTGAGTTTGTTGCTTCAATATCAGTATGATAGTAGGTATCAAAATATTTGGTCGGTATTACTGTTTACAATCTTGACATCCAGTTTAACAAGCCCATTCTTGACTTAAATACTTTCAGATTTCGCACAAGTATGGGGCTCTTACGTTTGTTGATGAAGTGCATGCTGTTGGGTTATATGGAGAACATGGAGCAGGTATCGGTGAAAAAGAAAACCAGTTGCACAACATGGACATCATATCCGGAACCTTAGGTAAAACTATTTCAAGAACCTCCCTTTCATTTTTCATTTACATATTCTACGTAATCAGCAGAGCTTGACACCAACTTTCCATCACTTATTCTGCAGTAATTTTTGGCCCTCTTCATCTTATTGCCTTTCACTCACTCAAGATACTGAAGGTCTTAGCTTGCCTTACTCTCATGAACATCCACTTTCCACAGAATGGATTGGCTTTTATTTCTGCTTAAGTTTCCGTCTCTAAAATGATGACACTCTCTGCAATAATCAATGAAAGAAAATCATCACTTCACTAAACTGCCAGCTAGACATTCTGTGGAAAAAAAACATTCTTTGCAGAATCCTTAAGGAAGTGGTTGTGGAGGAACGTGTAGAATTAGTCTTAATACCATTATTAAAGATGTCTACAGCAACGAAGTAACATTTCGATTCTCATGCAATGCCTGTGTGATTTTTTGCTCTGCTTTTTTCCTCTTCGAAACTTCCTTCTTTACAAAATATCTCCTTTGCGTTCTTTCCCAAACAAATGTGGCCTTCTTTTACTTTTAGCTGTCTGAAGATCTTTTTTCTCTTTTTTTCCAACCTCCTTAAAAAAATTTTAAATTTTACTGAAAATCATTGCAGCTAAATTTATTTTCTCTGGCGCAATTTTAGGCAAAGCTTTTGGAAATGTCGGAGGTTATATTGCTGGAACCAAGAATCTAGTTGATATGGTTAGGAGTTATGCAGCAGGATTTATTTTCACAACATCTTTGCCACCAACTGTACTTGCTGGTGCCCGTGCAGCGGTTGAAATACTAAGCTCATTGGAGGGTCAGATGCTAAGAATGAAACATCAGGAAAATGTCAGTTACATGCGAAAGAAGCTCCTAGAAGCAAGACTTCCGGTTGAGCATACTCCGTCGCACATCATTCCAATCAAGGTAATAATTAACTTTTTGATTAAATGGACGTATTAATGCGAAATGAAGCTGAGTGCTTAATTTTCAATTTTTATCAAATTTTGACACTCCATGACCTAAGCTACTCTATCGTATTAATATGACCCATAAAAACTCATTTCATTCCGTGGAATCAGCGTCTGAAAATTCGCAGAACAGGAAATTAGCAGTGTTGAATAAAATCAAAAGGCTCTATGTGTGATTCCCTTAGATTTAATGCGATAACCGGGATTCTGAATGAAATAAAAAAGAACCATATCCAATTAGTGTGGAATTTCTCGGCTTGTATCCACTTGATTTTGATGAACCTTGGGAAGAGGGAGTATTTTAGGATGGGAAACTTTAATTTTAAGTCAAATTTTCAAAAACAAAGATGGCGGATGTGGTCTGTAATGCCATCTCAGCATCTGTACAATAAGATGTTAGTGAAAATTGGTACTCTGGGATATTTTTTGACAGAAAACTCGAATGTATGGTCACATCGTTATAATTCGAAAATCCAAAATGACTGTTTTGGCTGAAGATACTATTTTGACTCCTGTCCCATCGAAAGTAGTGGAAGTTGGTAACTGGGGATATGGTTGAACGATAGACTCCAATTTAGTGTCAAATTTTCGAAAATCGAAGATGGCGAATATGGAATTAATCTTGGAGTTGGAAGATTGGACCAGTGCCAAGATAGACTTTTGAGGCACAATAGCGGTATTAGAATTTTGAAAATTCGACTGTAAATTTGAGTTTCCCATTGCAAATTCCCCGCTTGTACCACGTTTCATTCGCGTGAGCAGGTACCGCGACAGAATTCTACGCCGTATCCGCCATATTGGATTTACAAAATTTGAAACCTTAACTACGAATTCAAGTTACCTGTCGCAAAATACCCACCAAACCAAGTTGCACTATAATCGTTTGAAAAGGTGCCGATTTAGCATTTTAGCACCTATTGGCAGGCTTGGATTTACGAATTTTGAAAATTTGACTGAGAATTCGAGTTTCCTGTTAAAAGACACTCCTTGCTATTGGAGAGCTTGATGAAAAAACGGCTTTTTTCGCCCCCTCTCTGGAATTTCTTCAGACTTTGTCTATTGGTTACTCATACTTGAGCGCTTCTTCTTTCAAATTTTCAGACCCCCAAAAAATTTTGGCACTAGGGGGGGGGGGGGTGGAAGGCAAAAACCTGTGAACCTCGTTATCTCTCAAACAAAGGAAGATATAGAGGTCCGGCTTGGACAAAAAATCGTCTAAAATTGCATACTTCATGATTCTGAAGGTCAAAATCCCGAAATCACATTATTAAGTTAACATATGTGCTTTTTTCCAGTTTTTGGGTCTAGAAAATTTCATTTAAACAAAGATCTCAATTTTTTATTTGAACCATAACAATTTTTTTTAATTGTTCGTCTTTTTCCGCATCCAACGAGTGGTACATTAAGCTGGGGAACCATATGGTTTCGGAGTTTTGAGCAATTGACCTTTCCGCTCAGCGCGCGCCGGCCGATTTTCACGCGCTGAAAAGCCGGCTTTGACTGTTATTAAATCAGATTGAATATTCAAACAGTGCAAAATGCATTTTTAGGGACCTAGAGGGTCGCTAAGTTCAGAAATTACAGATACTTCCAAAATTTTCACGTTTTTAAAATTACAGCTCTGTGGTGCTATTTTAGGGGCCCACCGAGCGCCGACCGGCTGCGCCTGTGCGGAGCTGTAATTTTAAGAACGTGGAAAAAAAGTCAATCGTTCATAACTCCGAAACCGCTTGGTTCCCCAGCTTAATGGACCACTCGATAGATGCGGAAAAAGACGAACAATTAAAAAAGAAAATGGTTTTGGTTCAAGTAAAAAATTGAGATCTTCGTTTAAATGAAATTCTCTAGACCCAAAAACTGGAGAAAAGCAGTTATGTTAACTTAAAAATGTGATTTCGGGCTTTGACCTTCAGAATCATGAAGTATGCAATTTTAGACGATTTTTCGTCCAAACCGGACCTCCAGATCTTCCTTTGTTCGAGAGATAACGAGGTTCACAGGTTTTGCCTTCCACCGCCCCCCCCCCTAGTGCCAAAATTTTTTGGGGGTCTGAAATTTTGGGAAAAGAAGCGCTCAAGTATGAGTAATCAATAGACAAAGTCCGAAGAAATTCCAGAGAGGGGGCGAAAAAAGCCGTTTTTGCATCAAGCTCTTTCATTTCAATGTGTGGAATAGACATCAAATGAGCATTTCAAGCTGTATCTGCCATCTTTTGATATAGAATTTTGAAAAAATTGTCAAAAGATACTCCTGGATACCAAGTTTCATCAAAATCGACTGAATCGGCGCCGAGAAAGCACTATTTTCTCAGATACTGTTCCTTTTGATTTAACTCATTATCACAAATTTTGAAATAGGTAAATCAAAGAAAACGATGTACAATCTCCCCTATATCTCGCTTTGTATTAATTTTTTAGTAGCTTTGGCAACACGTTTAGCTACAGGAACTCTTCAGCCTTCAAACAAGCCATAGAAAACCAAAATCCGTTTGCGGTCAGTGTTGTTTTAACAGATGCTCCACCATCTATTTGCACTGATTATCAAGCCATTTAATTAATGGGTTGCAGATCGGTGATCCCTTGAAATCATCTCAGTTATCTGACACTTTGCTTCGAGAAAAGGGCCATTATATTCAAGCTATCAATTATCCTACTGTCCCAAGAGGAGAGGAAAAATTACGCCTGGCACCAACACCACATCACAGTAGAGAAATGATGGATCAGCTCGTATCAGATATGCTTAGCGTCTTCAACCATCTGGAATTACCCTTGAATCAAAATGTTTGCACTGAAGTAAGTATTAATGTACAGCATATTGGTAGTAGCACTTTGTGTAATTTTTGGTTTGGTGGGTAACCACCAAACTTGAAAATCGAATGTGGGCCCCTTCATTTATGAGTGATGCAACAGTCACGACATGTAAGTATGTTTAGCCCTTGCAGGAGCCCCCTTCCTCACCTATTTGCATTTTTATCTAAAGTAAAGAAAAAGTCGGTATGGATTGATCTGAGCCTTCTATGTGCTCCAAAACAATATGAAATATTTTATCGCGCAAAGTCCAATATTTTTCAATTCAGGTCCTACAAATGCTTTTAAAAGATCATGAAAAAAATACTCAATCGGCTGGCTAAAGTCCAGTATTTTTCTTGAGAATAGTCTCCTCCTTCAATAAGTGATGCAACAATTGCGACATTTTTGTATGAAAAGCTCTTGCAGAAGCCTTTTTATTTGACTCAGCTAAATTTTGAAGAATCACTGACGTGTCCGCAAAAATGCTCTTACTGTAATCATTAGTATTTTTCCCCTTTGCTTGCTGGAAGATTGCTTGCAGCGTATTTTTCGAGCGTATCATTCTTCTTTTACTTTCTCCCAAAACTTATTTATTGTATAATATTTCCAATCTCAACTTATGATGCTGCAGTTTAATATGCATGTAAATGGAAGCTATCATAACATTGTATCATATACCACTGCATAATGAACTGATCGTCACGAAAAGGACTCCAGATTAAGGTGAGGTCGGGTAACTGGGCAAGAGTTCGGAGAAAAATGTCAAAATTTCAACTTCATGATTTTTTTTCCATCATTATACTGACAAAGGATGCATATTTTTAAATTACTTTTACAGCTACTTTTAAATTTTTTTTAGTAAGTACAACACCTTGTCTAAATGCAGGAAGAGTCAAAAGTCGAATTTCATCTTTCAATTTTTTCCCATAAATTTTCAAAAATTTCCCGTTTTTTTTACCCAGTTACCCAACATCGTGGGGTAACTGGACTACCCCCCCTTAATTTTTGAGGGGGGCATTATTTCTAATTCTCATCGGCCAGAAGTTGATGTCCTTCTCACGAAGGTTTCAGAGAATTTCATTTGAATTTATATAACCATGTTTAAGTCGTTAAAAGTGATGTCGTAACAGTTAGCGGCCTAAATATAATTAAGTGATGCTTAAGTTATGCTATAATTGACTTAAGTTAGAAGTTTAGTGTGCTGGGAACACTGATTATTGGTTTTTGGCACTTAAAAGTCCACAATAGTCAATTAATTTAGACATTTTCAGAAGTAAACAAACACTGAAGCACAGCAACCTTGCAATGGGTAACTGGGCAGGTGCCACCTGCCCAATTACCTTAGGGTGGGTAACCAGTTACCCCACGAAGGGAAAATTTTCAAGGTAACTGGGCATCAACCATGTGCAGCCAGTGTTTTCATTCAATTACATTGTAATTGCTCACGCATTACACAAATACATCATACATGAAGAAGAAATGTCAAAGTTGAATAAAATACTTGCTGGGAGTGAGATATGAGGCTCTTTTCGGGACCACCTCCGGCATTGTTTTGAAAAAAAAGCTGTCCAATTTTCGGCACTTCACCATTCACCATAAATTTTTTTTTTTGAGGTTGTGTTTACATGTTCTAGATGGTTTACGTCATAATCAAGGTATACCAACAGTGAAAACAATTTTTGCAATAATATGGTAGAAATACAGAGGGTACCGCCCAGTTACCCGACCCCACCTTACCTAGATATTGAAAATTGTTTTAAGAGAAAATTAATGGAGATTTAAAAAAACAAAAATCATGGTTGAAAATAGCGTTTTTATTTTTTACGCAGAGTAGAATAGGTAAGAGGGTTTTGACATGGATCCTCAGATATCTCTATGAAGCATTAATTTCAGTGACCTATCTTTTTTACGCATTTTTGCGGACACGTCAGTGATTCTTCAAAATTTAGCTGAGTCAAATAAAAAGGCTTCTGCAAGAGCTTTTCATACAAAAATGTCGCAATTGTTGCATCACTTATTGAAGGAGGAGACTATTCTCAAGAAAAATACTGGACTTTAGCCAGCCGATTGAGTATTTTTTTCATGATCTTTTAAAAGCATTTGTAGGACCTGAATTGAAAAATATTGGACTTTGCGCGATAAAATATTTCATATTGTTTTGGAGCACATAGAAGGCTCAGATCAATCCATACCGACTTTTTCTTTACTTTAGATAAAAATGCAAATAGGTGAGGAAGGGGGCTCCTGCAAGGGCTAAACATACTTACACGTCATGACTGTTGCATCACTCATAAATGAAGGGGCCCACATTCGATTTTCAGTAAAGTATAATTTTTAATTTTCTTTTAGGAGTAATAAGAAAATTTGGTTCAACAAGTTTAAGACTTTGGCCGGATTCTTTACCCCTTAGAATCTGAAAGTTTTTTGGGGTTTTTTGTAGTTTTTATATCAGGTCGTTTTTGGAATGATGTGAAGCTAATGAAACATTTGGCTGGAGACAGAGAAACTGAGAATAATATTTTCAATGAGCAGAACTGGAACTCCTTGTTTGATCAACTGAACATTAATAGGGGGCGATTCAGTTTGCAATCAATAAAAGTTACCTGATGTTTTGGAGAGTTTAAACTTCTCTTATCGAAATAGGGTACCTACATAATGTTTTAAAAACTGATGGATTAGCAATTAATTGTCACAGTGTAGGCTACTTAGAATGAACTTCTTTTGCCGCATAAATTATTCCTTACTCATAAAGTTTCAACATTAATTCTGCAATTTTCACTGCGTTTAACTCAACTGTTGGACATACTTACATTCAGCCACTAAAATTTTAAATTAAATAACATTGAGACCACTAAGTGGAAAGTCCATTCAAAGAGTTAAAATTATTTTTTTTTTTTTGGTTCACTCATTATAAAAAGTATCTCCTGTAAGAGGTATTTAATTTATCAATAAAAGTGTGCGTCAAGCCAAGCTCCATCGGCCACAAAAGTATTTTTTCTTTTAACAGAGTATAACGTCTAGGAATGTGACTTGAAACATGAAGATAAGAAAATTGTACATATACCTATTATGCACTCCGTTGAACTTGAGCGATTCAGGTAATAATCGACTGAATTTCAACCTCAAGTTACAATGGCCTCAGTCACAAAATTAATTGAAAAAGAGAAAAACTTGTTGCAAATACTACTTTGTAATACCACCGGGGGTGGCTACCGCCACTCTTGATACAGTATACCTATATTGAAGCTAGCGGAGAATATTTTGATTTATTTTGCTTAGAGTCGCTTCACCACATAATTTGTCGAATCGTATAACTGGCATGAAGTAATTATATATTGTAATGGAGTCTTTTGATTCACAAAAGATAATGAAGGCTACCTCTCAGTTACCTGGTAGTTCAAGAATTCCCAGTAATTTTTTTGTCCACTATCGGACTAAAAACACCACCCCCAAACTCTTCATCAGAGCATGTTCCGCAGTTGGTACCTAGGCGCAAACTTTTTGATCATAAACGCTACCGATCGGTCTAATCTTTTTTGGCTTTAATTCACCCGATTACATTCATTCCATTAAGAAATGGGTAGGCACGCGAACCATACATAGACCCAAAGCTCAATTAATCTCAGAGTGCACTGTTTCACTGGAGTAATTATGCTAGAAACTCACTAGGTGAAGATGGAATACTTCTGTGACACAACAACCAACAACACCACAATATTTTCACATCAAGAGTGGCAGTAGCCACCCCCGATCGAGGAAAATGACGACCTACTATAGTCCCTATAGCGAAGGGGTGGCCGACACTCTTAGTCACACCTAACTTCCTGAATCTGAAAATTGATTCGATATAGAATGGAATTCAGAGCAAATGGCGGCACGGATTCCAACGATCTTGGTGTCTATGGACGCAGCTAAGTTAGCCGGATGGCATTTAAGGGTTTATTATCTAACAGTCGGTAGCTGCACCACCAGTGTAAGTCCATAACATAACCTCACTATTTGATATGTTTACATCAAGTTTTCATATGTTAAAATAGAGAAGGAATGGGCGCTGTGTACTTACTTGGCCCAGCGATTTATGCAGCAATATAAATTCTTGGTTTTATAGTAATAATCAAGCTGAGAAAAGAGAACGAGTACATACCTTTCATGAAAGACATTCTTACACATTGACTGGCCACATGGTGTTTCTAACAACTTCTGACGCAAAATCAAAGAGACTCGAAGAAAACCAAATTTGAGCTAATACTCATCGTCAAAGATCTCTGATTTAGGGACATAAAGTTGACTTAGTGATTGAATTATACCTCGCATCCCCGCATATCCCCATGATGTAAACAAGCAACGGTAAGAGGCGAAGCTTTCCAAGATTAGTCATGAAGAACACAAGATCTTAATGTCAATAACATACACTTAGGAAAAGCACAAGCACTCCAGAGCACATAGGTTGAAAGCAAAATTTAAAGCGAATAAATTTTGGTCAGAGCATAGTGACCGTGTCGCAAGTAGTGTGATGGGCGAAGGCTCATATTACAGTACTTTTTAGATCTTTTCTTGAGACTGATAGGGTCCGATGAAAACAACTACATCTCTTCAAGATATGGATACTAGCATTCGTGACTTGAGGAAAACAATAATGTAATTAAAAACTGAGAGCAATGGGCTCTCCCTTCGATCCATTGGTGTGCATGGTAGGGAATTATTTGGATACTGTTAGTCACGAGAATGCAAACTGTGGTGTAAATCCTGCTTCCTTTTGATAGTTTGGCACAACTTTGGTGTCCTTTTATCGCCGTAATTTACCTGAATTACATTTATTGATGCTTGGGTCACTGGGTCAGACAGATACACGGACTGATAACCTCACTTCTGAATTAAGACATCACTTGAACATTTCAAGAGAAACTAATGAAGTAGTGTATCGGGCTCTGGCAGAAGACGTGCGATGTAATAATATAAGTGTGAATAAATATTAGTTAGCTTCTACAGAGAATTGAACTCTT